TAGATATAGATTAATGGATAAACTTTATTTTAGGATAACTAGTGCTGAGCAGTTGAAAAGGGAAACTATGGGATGAAAGAGTCTTGAAAACCATATTACCATAATTAATTAAAATTTTATGACATTTATCTGTATTACATGCTTTATGTTTACATCATTGTTTGACCAATACATGCACATAATTCAGTGACTATTTAAAACTTTGTCTCGACATGCATTAGCCAATAAACATTTGAATTATGACTTAAAGTATGGCATCTACATTATTGTAAAAATTTAGATTGTTGCATTTGCATCATTGATCATGACATTCATTACATACAAAATTTTGACATTGATAAACATTTGAAAGTCATCTAAAAAAAAATTTTGAATCTTTTGATGAAGTCTCTTAAAATAAAACTTTGAGTTTTCAAATGAGAATATTTGAGATATGAAACCCTAAAATTTATTGGATGTGAATCTTTAAACTATAATAAGAAACTTTGAACTCTTGGGTGTGAATCTTTAAATTTTTGAATAAGAACTTTGAACTCAGATGTGAAACTCTATGATTTATTGAATGTGAATGAAATCTTGAAGTTTTTAAATGAAAAATTTTTGAATCAAAATCTTTGAAATTAAGGAAGTGAATCCCTAAGGTTTTTCAAAAAAAAAAAAAACCTTTAACTTTTGGGTGTGAATCACCAGAATTCGAATGTGAATCTCCAGAATTTGAACATTTAAATATTGGATGTAAGCCTTGCAATTTGCATACGAATACCTAAATTAAAATTTTGGGTGTGAATCTTACAAACGTAAATCTTAAAATCTTGCAAATTTGAATTCTTGTAAAGCTAAAGAATCTTGTATATCTAAAATTTTACGAATCAAATTCTTATGAAACTGAAATTTTGATAATCAAATTTTGATGAATTCTTGCAAAGCTGAAAAGTTTTATGAATCTAAAAATTTTGTGAATCTTTAAATTGCGAACTCAAATTATGAATATTTGAGTTTCCAATACAAATTTCATCAGACATGATCTATGAATCCTCCAAACATGATTGTTAATGAGCTTTACTTATTTTTTTCAAAAGTCATTGACCCTTTGTTTAAAGGAGCTTTATTTATTTTTTTTAAAGTCATTGAGTCTCTATTTAGATGAGCCATATTTATTTTTTCAAAGTCATTGAGCTTCTGTTAGATGAGTTATTTTTATTTTCCCAAAGTCATTGTGCCTCTAATTAGATGAGCTTTATTTATTTTTTTCAAAATCGTTGAGCCTCTACTTAAAAAGCTTTATTTATTTTTTCAAGTTATTGAGTCTCTGTTTAAAGGAGCCATATTTATTTTTCAAAGTCATTGAGCCTTTGATTAAAGGAGCTTTATTTAATTTTCAAAGTTGTTAAACCTCTTATTAAAAGAGCTTTATTTATTTTTTTCAAAGTCGTTGAGCCTCTGATTAGATGAGCTTTTTTTATTTTTCAAAGTTGTTGAGCTTCTGATTAGAGGAGCTTTATTTATTTTTTTCAAAGTCGTTAAGCTTCTGTTTAAAAGAGCTTTTTTATTTTTCTAAAGTCATTGAGCCTCTATTTAGAAAAACCGTATTTATTTTTTCAAAATCAGTAAGCCTCTGATTAAAGAAGCTTTATTTATTTTTTCAAAGTCGTTGAGCCTCTGATTAGATGATCTTTATTTATTTTCTAAACTTATTAAGCCTCTGATTAAATGAGCTTTATTTATTTTTTCAAAGTTATTGAGCCTTTATTTAGAGGAGCCGTATTTATTTTTTTAAAGTCATTGAGCCTTTGTTTAGAGGAATCATATTTATCTTTTTAAAAAGTTGTGAGCCGTTTAAGGGAGTTTTGTGTCATTCAGCAAGTTTAGGTGTCTAATTATAAAAAAAAAAAGGTGTTAGGGATGACCTATCAGATAATTGCTACACTTAAAATTCATTAAAAAAATGAAAGAGCATTTAGATATAAATTATGATGGATTCAATGAAGTAATAGAGTCCAAAAATTCATCGGTTGAATTAGCATTCAATAGAAACTACTAAGCCAATCACTCATTATTTTAGTTTTTATTATTATTATTTTTTATATATATTAATTTATTTATTTATTTGGTTTTATCTTTTGTTTAATATTCAGTTATTTGATTTTTGTTTATTCTTTAGTTTGTTAAGATAATAATAAGATAGCTTAAATAAAAAAAGGTAAAATATAATAAAAATAATAAAGAGGCTGCCATGAATGGGTGATTGGCAGAGTTATGGATGGATGTAATTTCTATGGGATAAAATTTTATGTGATAATGCAAAATTCTTGTTAACAGTGGAGTCATAATTAATTAAAAATTCTTCTAATTTTTCTTATAAATTCAGCCCTGAATCAAACACAAATGGGGGACAAATAGATCAGGAAACACATAGCAAACCCATAGAAAACACAACAAGTAGAAGCAATCTTAGAGTTTTTAGGAATCTTTTTGTTTGGAAAAAATTTATAGTTTTTTCCTTAGAAATTTTCTAGAAAATTCCAGATTCTAGTGAATTTTTTGGTAACATTTATCTTTGTAGGTAGCCTTTCCAGTTTTCGACAATTTTTTTCTAATTTTTGATGAAATTCAATCGGAGTTCATCAATTTTAGAAAGAGAAGAAAAGGAAAAGAAAAGAGGAAAAGAGAGAAGAAGAGAAATCTAAAGGAAAAAATGAAAACTTGTGTCATTTATAATATTGCAAAATAACATTGTTTCGGGCATTTTATTCAACCAGGATTTGCGTGTTTTGCATTTGGATGACCCGACCCATAACGTCGACCTACTAGTCACCTATGTCACTATCTTTGGCAAGAGTCAAGCCAAGTCGCGAGCCACGTTGTTCCAACAGTTTCTCCTACTTGTAATCAAGCCAAATTCCAGTCGCCAAGCCGAACCATTTTTTGTATTTTTATTTTATTTATTTATTTAGTTATTATATTTATTTTATAAGTTTTTTTTTTTGCATAATTAAATTTTAAAAAATAAAAATATATAAAAAATAAAATATTTTTGAGAATAAATATAATTATCCAATGATGAAATTTTTAAAAATTTTAAATGGTAAATTTCTATAAAATTCTTAGGTAAGAAATTTTGTCTAAATTTGTCCCAAATTGTGGAATAATTTAAATATAATTTCAATAACAATAATTAATATTTATTTTCAAACAAAAAATAAAATATAAAAGATAAAAATATTAATAAAATTTTGAAAAAAATACTAATTACCCTATAATAAGATTCTTAGAAATTTCAAATGATAAATTTTTAAAAAATCTCTAGGTGAGAAATTTATCTAGATTTGTCCCAAATAGTGGAATAATTTATATAAATTTTGAATAAAAATAATTATATTCTTTTCCAAATAAAAAAATTTTTCTTAGAAATTTCAAATGATAAATTCTTAAGAAATCTCTAGGTGAGAAATTTCTTTAAATTTGTCATAAATTGTGGAAGAATTTAAATAAAATTTCAAGAAAAATAATTGTCATATTATTTTCTTTCTAATAACAAGAAATAAATATTTTCCAAATAGGCCCAAATGATAGAGAATTTAAAAATTAAAAAGAGAATATATTTTTAATTTGACTCAAATGATGGAATAATTAGATCTATTTTCAAAAAAATAAAAAATAATTAAACTTTTTTTTATGACAGAACTTTTCAAGAAATTAAACAAAACTCTTGAATACTTTTGAGGTAAAGAAATATTTTTAAAAATTTTACCAGATTGATGAAAAAATCTTAAGAATTATTTTTAATATTTAAACATTAAAATTAAAAACTATTAGAATCAAGATTTTAGGATAAATTTAAAATAAAATGGTATCATCTTTCGGATGGGCATGTAGGGGTGTTATAACCTTTCTTATACGTAACTAAACTTTTGAACCATGTTCTGATTAATAAATCCAAACATATTCTTTTAAGGACTCATAATCAAGCTTAGGAGTTCCTTAAAATGATAGATTTTTTAGGTGACCAATCACACATAGTAAAAAGATTGGTGGTGACTCTTTTTATTAAATTTAACTATAAATTTATGGATCTATATATTATGATACAGATAATTTTATTTTGACATGCGTAATCATGGATAAATGATAATAAATTGAAATAACAAATAAGAACAACATAATCAAATATGAGTTTTGATACTATATATGCATTTAATGTAAAATCAATTTATTATAAGTGAAAAACTCTAACATAAACATACAATCACAAAAAATTAATATTTAATTAATATAAAATAACGTTACTTTAATGTTCATAAACGAAAAGTTTCTTTGCAGCAAGCTCTTTGTAGTTTTTAGAATTTTTTAACATGTTGGACATGATAAAGAAGAGTGAAACGTGAGATGTGGATATCTGTTTATTTGAAGTTTTAACCAACATTAATAAATCAAGTGGTTGGCCAATTTATTATTGATAAAAATGGAGAAAGCAGGCACCTTCCTACTTGGAGCCAATTGGACCATGCTTGATCGCATTTTTTACTGTGGGTGTCGAATAGCTTTCTAGATTCTAACATCATAGAATGCAATTTTACAAAAACAAAATGTTAAAAGGATTAAAAAAATTAATAAGGAGATAATTTGAATATAAAAAAAAAAAGTTTCAGATGAATTAAAATATGTGTTTCATTTAAATCTAATATGTCCACTCAAATATAAAAAAAAATTAAAAAAAAAAGTAAAATCCCATGATTCTAATAACAAATAACAATACAATTTGTATAGCAATTTCCTTATAGGGCATTGTTTTTTTTTTTCCCAGTCTTTTAGAAGATTAAAAGTAGAGTTAGTAATTTTACATACAATAAATTTATATAATATGAAAAGAAATATAAAATAATAAAATTTATATATAATATGATGAAATTATAAAATATATTTTATATTTGATATATAAACATAATTATAATAGAATAATTTTTATATTTTATAAATATTTAATACGAGACAAGCAACACTAGAAAATTAAAATTTCGGAAAGTCAAGACACCACCCACGAAAAATGGATCCCGACCCGAACCGCAGTACTTTCCCGTTTAAATTCTTAATTCCTAAAATGCTGAACCAGCCAGCATCAACATTATTGTGTGAGGTTGATGTTATGTTCTAAAGAATTCAAAATATATTCCGTTAAATCGCCATCACTTTTAAATCTTGCAAAACTCAGAAAAGCATTGATTCCACCTCGCTCTGTTGACAAGGTGAAAACTTTCCCATTTCATTTTCCTCAGTTCCATTGTTTGTAAATATGTCTCCTTTTTCAGATCGTTTTAGGCCTTTTTTTTCTTGATTTATGATACGGAATTCATCAAATCAAGATGGGTTCTGCTTTTTCTAGTCTTATATATAACATAAATCATGATAATTTTCCCATATTTTTGGGTGTTTATAGTTTGTTCTAATTGATAAATTACAGTTTTTTTTTTTTTTGAGTTTCTGACATTTCTGTTTCGTGACGGGTTGTGTCTTTGTGTGTTGTTTATTTATGTTCAGGTAAAATTTTATACTTGGGTTATAAGAAGAATTGATTGATATTATTGCAAATGTCAAGTAGCACAAGGAGTGATGGAGACAACTTTATTGATGCTGAGGAACTCTTGGAGATTGAAACAAGATGCAGAGAGGTAGATTCTTTGCCTTGTTGTAATAACTAAGAAACATTGTCTTTTAAGTCTCAGGATTCTCCAATAACCCTTTTTCTTTTCCTAACATTTTTTTAATGTATTTTCCCTTGTTTCTGTATAATCAACTTCTAGATGAACAACTTGGGATAGTGGCTTGCACAGCTTGAGATGTCCCCTTTTTATTTTCTTTCAGTTAATGTTAGAGAATGAGCCTTCATTTAGTTGCTTTGTTATCCTATGAAACAGAAGTGCTTTTTACCCTTTAATATTTGTGCTTTTGAAGGTGGTTTGTTGTTATATTTATTCAGCCATTTGGTGTATTTGTCCTTATGATGATGTTGCTAGTTTGTTATCAATCATGAATTTTCATCTGTTTGTTTTGAAATTGTATTTTATCTGTTTATCTTTTTTCATGCAGTTGCGGAAAGAAAAAGAGATGTTGAAAGAATCACAAACTCAGGGCTTTGAACTAATCAGGGTAAGTTCTGTAACCCTTGGTAATCTTTTCATGCGGAACATGCTATATGAAATGTTCAATATTTTTATATTCATTCTTTTGAAGGAATTAAAGCTCTGGATAAGTATTTATGAAGCATAAAAAGTCTTTCCTCTTGCATTGGCATTTCAATTTGTCAAGAAAATCGTGAACTCCCTGGTACTTTATAGTCCATTATTCCATTCTCTCTAAAAAACATTTTTCCATATCACCTAATTGGGTTTCTGAAAATTTTTTTTTCCTGACTGTGAATTAAATAGCTTATTGTGAATTATGTTAAGACTAAGCAGCTGGGTATGCTTAAGTCTGAAATTTCCAGCTTGTTTAGGAGCAGGATCGAATTTTGACTTGACTTGCAGGCCTGTTGCTAAAGCAACTCAAAAGGCCAGTTACTTTTTCCTTCTTTTTAGTCCTTTATAAATGAACACCCTGAAGATAAAACCCTTGACATTGAGAGGGGTCCACATTCTTTTACTTGGTGATTGAATTATGGTAGCTGAGAAAAATAAAATGAAAAAAAATGTGCTGGACCTTTAAATATTTGAACTTTCAAACACCAAAAAAAGTTAGCAATTGAGGTTTAAATATTTGAATCTTCATTATTGTCTAATCGTAGCTTGGTTCACTACAGAGACTAGAACTACATGTAAAGTCATTATCGGAAGCTCGTATCCAGGACAAAAAACATATTCAGAAATTGGAAAGGGAGCTAAAAAACTGCTCTCAAGAAATAGGTAACTTTTCTTTATTTCTTCAAAATATTGCTGAGGGCGGTAATTTTTTTTTTTGTTTGTACTTATTTTATCTAATGACCTTTCCTTTTACATGGGAGTAGCTCAGTGGCATCTGTTGATAACTCCCATTTTACATACAGTCATGGTGCTTTTAAAGTATGCATTTCTCTTTGTGCTTTAATATGTTCAAGCAAGTTCTACTCATCTTAATTTTCTGTCTTAACTTACTTGAATTGGATTTGTATAAAAACTCAAATTGTCACCCATCTTTTGTTTTTAATCATTCAACTTTTGGTTGAGATAATTGTTTCCATTCCTCCTATTATTAACATGGTTATTAAATGCTACATTGGTGTGTCTTGTAGAAATTTAGTCCAGACTGGGTAAAAGAATTGTTGTGGATCTTGTGGTTATTTGGCTCTTTTGCCTATGGAAGTTGTTCACTTGTGGCAGAATATCATCTCCAAATACATATTCACATGCATTTTTCTTTCTTTATCTTCCCAAGAATGTGCTTGCTTTTTTTCCTCAAGAGTTCACCCTTATGATACTTATGGCGTCATAGTAAATGGTATTTTAATTATTTTCCTCTATCCTTTGTGGCAATGGTTGGATAATTGTCCGTATGCCGCTTTGCATGCCTGACTTAAGTATAAGTTGCTGTTTCTTTGATGGCATTCTTCAGATTACTTGCAGGATCAACTAAGTGCAAGGAATGAAGAGGTCAACAGTCTAACTGACCGTGTGCACAACCTTGAGATCAAATTAGCAGACATGGAAAGTTTACGGGAGAAGGTGGACCGGTTGATAGAAGAATTGAACAGGTCCAACTCTGAGCACTTGTTACTAATGCAGGAAATAGAGAACAAAGAAGAAGAGCTGCAACAGTCAGCTTTGTGCATTGAGAAATTGGAGGAGTCAGTTTCATCTATGGCGCTGGAGTCCCAGTGTGAAATAGAGAGCATGAAACTTGATATAACAGCCTTGGAGCAGACATGCCTTGAAGCCAAAAAAACTGAGGAGGAAATTGTTCAAGAAAAGTCCAAGATGAATGTTGTAATTGAAGGGCTTGAGTTTCAGCTTCAGAATGCACAGGAAATTATTGAAGTGCTAGATAATGAAAATAAAGAGCTAAGAGGAAAGCTTATTACATCTGAAAATACTGCTGAGATTTTCTGCCAAAAGCTCAAGGAATGGCTGAAAAGCAAGGACAGATCACAGCACAATATGCTTTCGGTCTTGGGTGAACCAAAAAGCATGATTACAATATCAAAACATATAAGGTTAGTTGCAAACTAAAATTTTGTATTTTCCTATTAAAATTACACGGTTATCCTGTCTAATCAAATACATTGTTTGTCTGTGTGATAATATGAGAAGCAAAAGAAGCTGTTATTGAGCACTTGAATATGTTATACATGCCTTTTTATTAAGACTATTCAGCAATTCCTGCTCAAAGATATGTTTTCTAAACTGCCTGATTCAGTTATCCTAAATATTTAGCGATATATAATTGGAATCCTGATAATTTTATATAATTGGAAGACTGCTCAAATATAATCTTGTTGAAGTAGTTCTTTGCATGAAATGTTTTATTTAGTTTTATCTCTTTAAATTGTTAGGTAATAGCTTACAAATACTGGTCTTCATTTCTCCCTTTGGTAATCATGAAGGATCTGATAATTTTTTATGATTCCCTTAATTATTTATAACGTTTTTGTAATGCTGCTGAAGTGGCTGCAAAGAACTCTTTGGTGCGCTCCTTTCAGAAGTTGCACTAGTAGTGGAATCTGATGCTGATTCGAAGGAGCAGATTGAAAGCATGTCACATCAGATAAATGAATATGAACTCCTGGTGAAGCAACTTAAGGTACAAATTATGTCCTTAAGAGAAATTATAGTTACCTACTATAGTGTTATTGTAGGGGGGGAGCAACAAGGTGAAATCTGAGTTTAGTCAGCTCCATTCCCGTCCTCTTTGGCTTTTGAATTCACTGCTAGATTAAATAGTTGATCCTGAAAATGGTTACTAGGAAGAGTTGAGAGAGCAAAAGTTGAAAGCAAAGGAAGAAGCAGAGGATCTAGCACAAGAAATGGCTGAGCTGAGGTACCGGATGATGGGCCTGCTTGAAGAAGAGTGCAAGCGCCGAGCTTGCATTGAACAAGCATCTTTACAGAGAATAGCTGAGTTAGAGGCACAGGTAATACTATTATGGTAGGTGATCCTTTTTCACTGAGCAATATATTTTACTTGGATTCTGATGTTTAATATTGTTTACCTTCTCTTTTTGGTCAAGATTCAAAAAGAGCCCCAAAATTCAGTTGCTGTTATTAGACATCTCCATGAATCATAGGGATTGGCTGCAGTAGAATTGTTGATGTCCATTAATTGGAAACTGAGTCAGAGGTTGGTACTTGCCTGAATCTTTTCTTGTTTTTCTTTATATTGCTCTTAGGCAGTTTTTATATTTCATTTTCCAATATCATACATGAATGTAAATGCAACCAATGCTAATTTTCATGCACTCACTTTTTTTTTTCACTCCTCGGTTGCTGTTTTAGATATTTACCATGTCAATACACATTAGGGCTACTTTTCCCTCATGATTTCTTTAAGGTTACTTTTAATAGAACTATAATATTACATATTTGATTCCTGGACACCATCTGTGGCTTCTTTTGTCTTTCAGACACTAGTGCTAAGTGTAATCTTATTAAACAAATGTGCGACATGCATTTATTCACTGGTGTTGATTCCATTGGGTGTATACTGCCACCAAATTTTCAACCTATTTGCATGGTAACCACGGTCTTCGATCAAAGCCATTACTACTGTCATACTCCATCATACTATTCAAGTTTATGCTTATTGCTCTTAAAAAAGCATAGGTTCTCTCTGAAGTTAGGTGGTGTATTGGTATTCTTTTCCAAGTTTTTAGTCATAATTACTAACTTTTTTCTGTTGTATTCCAACAGGAACGCCTTCCAATGGCTAACCTCGGGAAAGATATATATGATTTGCATTGATCAAGGTTCTGGGAACGATGGAAGTACGAGGGGAGGTAGAAACACTGTTACAGTAGTGTGTGTGTGGGTGTGTGTTTTTCAAGTGGTGTGTAATTTTGCACTAGTTTGTTGTTTGTTGCAGCTGGTTATTTTGTGGGGCTTTCAAGCTTCCAATTTGCATTGGTGTTCTGTATTTTGTGGGTTCTCAAGTTTTCACTTTTGCAATACATTCAAAGACATCACACTGCATTCAGGTCTGACTAAAAAGAACGCTGGATATGGCAGAGTTTCTCCCCCATTTATACCTTGTAAGACCAAGCACTGAACGTAGTCCAGATTCTGGTGATATAATGCAGCTAGTTGTTGTATTATCATATTTCTTTATATAATCTGATTGAACGGTTTCTTGAAATTGTTGTGCCCTCGTAAATGAAGTTGGTTGAGTTGATAAGATTCGAATATTTCGTTAATAAAATTTAAGTTTGAATCTCATCAATTTTCGTAATTGGATGATTTGTAAATTTAATATAAATTTTCTTTGAGATTCAAGAGGCATTTTTTCTCACCTTAAATTTTTTTTTTGACCAAAAAAGAAAAAAAAAAAAAATTATTGTACCCACTAAATTGTCATAAAAAAAATGCAATTTTCAACATTCCTGTTGTCAACAATGATGTTATCTATTAACAAGTAACAATCATATAATTTATTAATAAAATGTTTAAATCTTTATAGTTTCAAATATATTAAAAAAATTAATTTATTTTTAATTATTAAGTCAAGATATAATTAAATTCCATTAAATACCTCCCTCTATGTCAATGTATTCCATTAAATTCCCTGTCTTAATCTATTAATAATATAGTAACTTGGATCAAGTTTGCTGGCATCGTTAATCTAAAAATTATATATTGACCTATTTAAACAAAAATCATATTTCAAATAACAAAAATATTATAAAATTTTTTAAAATCTAAAACAGTATGTATGCGAGATCATGAATACCCTTAACACTTAAAAAAATTAATACTAAAATTTAAAATTTTTAATAAAATTGATATTTTATAAATTTTAATATATAAACAAAATAAAAAATCATAAAATTAATTTTTTAGTATAAAAAAGAATTTTATGTTATTTTGTTTAATTTAATTCATTAATTTTTTATATGAGATGTAATTTTTTATTCTGATAATAAATTTTTACTAATAAATTCATAAAAAAGTATTTTTATAGAAATATTTTTTAGAAAGTTAAACTACAAAAATATTGTAAAATTCTTTATATTTAATATAAAAAGATAAAATAAAACTCTATATATAACCAATTTTATGAGAGGGAAAAGGTTTTTCTTTTATTTTTTTTTAATTTAAAATGACAAGAGGCAAGTTCTCTTTAATTAAATAATACTAATAATTACGGTTTGGCCACTTTCTTGCTGGTTTACGTTTTCAAGACTTTCTCTTTCGAGTTCAGACGCGTTTCACGCGTCTCTCTTTCTCTCTTTCTCTCTTTAAAGCTCCTCATTTTTTACAAAGGATTCAAACCTTTTCTTTTTCTTGATTTTGTTTTTAGAACTTCGTTTTCTGTTTAAAGTTTCTCAGCATTTCCATTCCTCCAGGTACTTTCCAAGATTCAATCTCTTTTTTTTCTTTCATTTTGCCTTAATTTCTGCATATGGGTTGTTTTAGTTTTCTTGCTTGTTCTTATTGAAAGAAATTGAACTTTCAGGTTATCCAAACAAAAACCAGTTTTCTTTTATGTTTTTTTATTTTGAAATTTTGAGCAGCCTTGATTGATGTCTTGAATTCATGATGGTGGTTCTTTTGGGGTTCCTACTTTGATGTTTGCTTCATGGGTTTCTTAGTTGTTCCTATGTTTTGTTGTCTGCCGTGAAAACTGAGGAAATCTTATGCCTTTTTTGTTTGTTCTCCGTGTCTTTTATAAAGTGACGAAAAATCCCAAGTCAACTAAGTGTCTTTGATGTTAAGTTTAGGATTTTAACATTTCTTCTTCTAACTATGAGGTATTTTTGGTTTTTGATTTTGTTACTTTGTATGTGATTGATGAACTACATCTTTTTTGCTGCTTTTGGCCTTTTGAATCCCTTTCAAGTCCCTTTTCCCTCATCTATGGTAGTTTCAAAAGGAAGATTATGAAGGAGACTGCTTGATAAAGATTTTTTTAGAAAAAAAAAGTTTTGGATTCACCTAGAAGTTAATGCATATATTGTCTACTTACAGGATTTGTAGGATTTCTGCCTTATGTCTCTATTTTTCTTTCCTGCCTAGATCTAATATCTGTATGTTGATTGCTTTGCAGATTAATAATATTTGACTTCCTGTCAACTGCCTGATCAAGTAGCAGATTTTCCTCATTAAAAGAATGTTAGGTCTAAAGAAATCTCCACTGAGGACTGCTAAGCACAATTCAGTTGATCCTGGGGGTGTTGCTTCTCGCTCCAACCCTTTTGATTCTGATGACGAGTTGGAGAATAAGCAAACCCTTAAACCTACCAGGAGGACTTCTTCTGAACCTTCGCTGAATCCTCCTAATTTTGGGACCAATCCTTTTGATGATGATGAAGAGAAAGTGAATTCTTCTTCTTCTTCTTCATATTGGCAAACTTCGGCATCACAGAACAAGTATAAGAATGATTTCCGTGACTCTGGAGGACTAGAGAACCAATCAGTGCAAGAATTGGAGAACTATGCTGTCTACAAGGCTGAGGAGAACACAAAAACTGTGAATAACTGTGTGAAGATTGCAGAAGAAATGAGAGAGGGTGCCACCAAGACTTTGATCACCTTACATCAGCAGGGTGAGCAAATTACCAGGACCCACGATGTGGCTGCTGGCATTGATCATGACCTTAGTCGGGTATGTCTTTTGTTTTGAAAAAAAAAAAAAAAAAACCTTATGCATGGTGATTGAATAATAGCCGTAGAATACAAAAACGTGAAAAAAATTTATGATCGCCTCTTCCTTACGTTTTATACTTTCATAAATATCATGATATTTGGGTTTGTTCATGTTGCTAGCATGTTGATCATAAGGAGTCACCTATAATTAATTTTGTAAAGAGGTTTGAGTTTACGCTTCTATTGGATTGAACGGAAACTATTTCCCCAGACATCACAATCATGGTGAAATATTCATGCCATCTTGTTCTGAAACTTCAGAACCTGGAAATCCTCCCTTCCTCATCCAATAGACTACTTTGTAGGACACCTACTTGAGACATAAGATCACTCACCTAACCTACTCACAGCTTTGTAAAAGCTGCTATCTTACTTGCTCTGCCTCTGGCAATGTCTCTGATCTACCATTAGACCATCTGCCTCGGCACTGCATGGTTCATTTTGATCACCTTCTTGTGCCATGTAACTCACGATTTGTGCCTCTTCAGACAGTTTATAAAGGGAAATCTTTGATCAAATGTGGGAAGGAAACTGATATTTAAAATAAATATCTTCTGGATTGATCTTATGAAATTAAAGGGACACTCTTAATGATAGATTCTTTCTGATTTCAGAGTGAGAAGCTTTTGGGAAATCTTGGAGGCATGTTCTCTAAAACTTGGAAGCCAAAGAAGACTCATCAAATAGTTGGTCCTGTTATAACAAGAGGTCATTTTTCGTTCATTACTCTCCATGAATTATCTGTACTTTTATCCCCTATTAAAAAATCTGAATGTATTATTTCTTGTAATTAAGGGTTGGTGGTGACTTTGGAATTGTTCCTGCATCTATGTCTATTTCGTTGCATTTGTTCTGAACTGTATGTGGAATTTTACTTGGTCTACAGATGATTCACCTAAGAGAAGGGGTGGCCACTTGGAACAGAGGGAGAAGCTGGGATTGAATCCTGTTCCTAAGGGACATTCAAAATCTAGAACACCACCCCCTGAACTGGCAAATGCATTTCAAAAAGTTGAGGTGTGAATTGTGCTTTTTTTTTTTTTGTAGATGTCAATTTAAAAAAAAAAGCTTTAAACAATTAGTCTATGAGATGAATGCATGAAACAACCCACTAGTCTAAGCCTTTTTTGCAGAATATGCAATTTATTTCTTTTTTGGGGGTTGTCAAAACAGGTTGAGAAGGCAAAGCAGGATGATGCCCTCTCTGATTTAAGTGATCTACTTGGAGAGCTGAAGGGAATGGCCATTGATATGGGATCTGAAATTGAGAGGTTAGTTTCTTGTTAATTTTCTTAAATGGTAACTCAAAAAAATTTTTTTTTTTTTGGTTCAATTCAATTAGAAGTTTGCTTCATTTAGTCTTTCAATCTTCTAATGTTACATTGCTAAAAGGAAGCAAGTCACTTGATTTGTCAATTTTCTATTTTAGTCATGAGCTTTGGTGTATTTTGCTTGCATTTTTTGGGTTATACACAACATTTGACATTATCTGCACTGAAATGCTTATTTCAGGCAAAATAAAGGTCTGGATGGCCTCCAAGATGATGTGGATGAGCTAAATTTCCGTGTGAGAGGTGCAAATCAACGTGCTCGTCGATTACTTGGGAAGTAGGATTTCAGTCTCATGATTTTGCTTTTGAGACTTTGCTTGTTCATGCTGCCATCCTATCCAGCCCTTCTGTTTCACTCTTCTGTCATAGTGATCCATTTACATACAAATTGGATTTAGACTTTTTTTTTCCTTTTAACATCTATTAATATGCAGTTGAGCTCTTAACTACTTGTATTTGTTGCTTTATCAATTTTCCCCTTAACATGACTGGATGATGTCTAGAATTACCATGGAATTTTCACTTGGTGTCACCAAAATTTAAAACTTTTAAGATAATGATTTGAAACTAATAGTATCATTCAAGAATCAACCAAGGTGGTGTGCAAAGAAAATAAATTTCACGACAGTAATAAGTAGGGATTTGAAATAATGTTATATCAAGATAATATCCACCAACTCAAAGCCGGTGGAATTATAACTGAGAAGGCTATGATACGCTGTATGATCTGTTAAGTTAGGATGCATGACTAGCTATCCAAGATTTTGTAACTATGAGGACACGACCATGAATTTTAGGACCAAGGAGATCATGTATGGTATGCTCTTCAAATATTAGTTACATCTTTCAAGTCAGAGGCAAAATCCAATTCTTCTGTAGCTATGACTTCGACCATGAAATTTTAAAGCGCAATTCAACTAAAAAACCCATCCTCTCTTCTTTTCTATTGTTCTTGTTGGAAGAGGTGGGGGTCTTAAAGGAAATTAACATAAAAAAAAAAAAAAAAAATTATAAGAGCAAAATCCTAGATTAGGCACAAACAAACCCCTAAAATTCATAGGGTAAAATCAACCAAACAGAAAATTTTACTGCATGCCATGAAAAATCTATTGACAGGTGAAAGCCAAATTCCTAAAGCGACCATCCAAGAGTCCCATTTTCTGGCAATACAACAGATGTCTGTCGTGGTGTTAAATATGTCTCTCAAAGGCAAAAGCTGATTACACGATCTAAAAGAGTAGGCCAGTGGACAACTCAATCTCCAGACTAAAAGAACCAACTTTGCCTACGATTTATAATGCAGGCAGTGACCAGAAAATTCCTTTATCCTAAAATTTCTAATCCCTATCCAAAAGCAAACTGCCAGAAATAGAGGCATAATTGCATATACTTGATCCAATGCAACAAGAGTAGTATTTACTTCAATGAATATATAAGAACCACAACTAAGTTAAACTCAAGAAACATATTGATTACTAAGACAAAGACAGCCATTTGCTGGCATAAATGTTTCCGTGAGATGCTAAACTTCTGAAAAGTATACACAGGCATAAGCATATTTACACTAATAGTGGAAAAACTCTAAGGCTTTGCTTGGTAGAAAGGATGGAAAAATGTGAGGATGGAAAACTTGTTAATCTAATGATTAAAATTCATAACAACTTTCCTACTTTGTTGCTTAATCAATAGATAAACAAATTTTTCATCCTTACCTCTTTCCATCCTTCAAATCAAGCAAAGCCTAGGAGTTCACGGATCAAAGAATCTAAGATTGTCTATGGGGTGCCTAAATCTACTCACTTTCCCATTCATTACCCATTACTAATATGAATCATTGAAAGATTTTCCAATATTGGCTCATACCAATAAATGACTTCAAACTCATCCTATTCTCTTTTCTCTTTTCTCTGCCATAAAACTTTATTAAACCCTATACAAGTTCCACTACAGCAATTCAGTTTTTGTTCCCGAAATCATAGACCTTCCAAATTGCAATTGTACTTCAAAAATAACCACAAAAAGGCATGATAACAGCCAGTAGTTAAGCTATGAAATGCCATTGGTCATGTTTCTCAAAAGTTTTAACTAGCGACTATCTAACTTCTACTGACTTCTTTAACCCGCACACCCTGAATGCAACGGGTTGTTAAAAGATTCCAATAACTTTGGATACTCTACACTCAGAATCAAAATCACACGCCCAAAAAGCTACTTCAACTTTTACCTAAAGGCAGGGAGACAAGGTGAAGAGTGAAGGATATCATCAAAGACATTTCCTTCTCATAACAAGACAATTGCCAGTAATTCAATGCATGCAGATGCAAATGCAATCCAATTCAACTTTAACTCAACCGATCATAATCTAAATCTGTAATATCAGTCTTTGCTTAATATCTTAAGAGGCCACTACTCAAATGTATAATTGAAATTGACTTACATAATTAACATTTGAAAACACGGTTTTGACATGATCTATATCTACATGAATAAATAAACAATTAACTTGAATAACATGAGAATAAAAATCAATTATCAAATTCAATTTCTACTTCCCAAAATATCTAACTATGAGGATACTTCCTAATCTGCATATTTATTCACTTTCTACCTCCACCACCAAAAACTCAGATCATCTTTCACCTAAATAGAGCAAAAAAGAACTAACTTACTACCTAAAAAATCATAAAATTTAATAAGCAAATAAAAAGAAAAAGAAAATCCCATAAGTCACACAAAACAAACAAAACCCAACATGCCATTAATCCCAGAGTGTGTATTACATAAAAAAATTCAACTTCATACACTGTAAAAACTTAATCTTTTTCCTCAATGAATCAAAGTTTATTTCTTTTTCTTTTTATTTCTTTTTCTTTCAAAAGGAAAGGAGCAACAAGGGCAGATATTTTGTTTAAGAGGGCTTAATATCCATGATGCTTTTGACCTTAGAAGCATATAGGGAATAAACGATGGCCTGTCTTTTAGCGACTTCAAGCTGAGTTTTGCCGTCGAAGAAAGCGGCGGAGAGCAGTGAAGGGTCGGTTAACTTCTTGTTGTCTCGAAACCCGTCGATGGTTCTTCGTTTTGTGTACTCCCTTATGTTGTAGTCGCAGAATTGCCGTGCCACCCGTAGCAATGAACGGTAAAGCTGTAAAACCTCGGTTCTCGTCGGCGCTGCCACCCCCATCGTCGCCATTTGCCTTTTCTTTCGGTTTAGAGACACAGATTGATTGTTTAGAGTTGTCTTGTGGGAAAGAGAGAATCTTTAGATAGTAGCTTTGCTTGGTTGACTAGTAATTGCATTGTCAAGCAAAACGCAACGTTTAACTGGATTGTCAAGCAAAACTCAACGTTTTAGCTCTCCGTGATAAGAAAAAAATAATTAGGGAATCACTTACTATAATAAAAATTTTTATTTGATACATCGATATATAAATTTTATACATTACTAATAAATTAAATTATAATAATTTATTAACGAATAAATATTAATTTTTAAAATAAATATACATAAATTAAAATTTTTTAAAAAATTTATTTATTAATAAAATATTATTATTTAATTTAATTTATTAATAAAATATTATCATTTTACTCACAAAATATAAATTTTATACATTAATAACATATTAAAAATAAACTCCTAAAATAAACCCTAAAAAATCCATAAAAAACTTATTGAAAAGTAGAATTTTGGCTGCCATTGTCAAAAAATATTTATTTTTTTAATTTTAAAAATTCATAATTTTTAAAATATTTAATTAAAATAAGTGCTACAAAAATCTTTGAAAAGATCTTGAAAAGAACTTTTCATAGGTACCAACTATACTATCGAAAAATCATGCGAAAGCCATCGGAAAAATATAAAGATTAAAACTAAAATTTGAAAAAAATTAAAATAATTTGTGCAATTTAGTCCCTTTCACTAATACATCCACCAATATACAAAAATGAAAACACCCAAAGTAAAATAAATAACGTAATATATATATATATATATATATTTTTAATATAAAAGTAATAATATTACATGAATTAGGGAAGGGTATTACAAAAATGAAAATCAAATCCCCTGTGAACTGGCTTCAAATTACAAGATCAAATTTTGATGCCCATAAGTTTTTTTTTTGACTCTTTTAAGAGTTAGAATATTTCATATACTTGAGTATCTTTTCCTGTTCTTGATTCGTAGACCATGCAAATGAAATTGGCATTTTAAAGCATTTAGCAAATATAAATGAATAAGCAACTGTGCACTTCTCCTTTTTCTCCTAGTAAGAAGTGGAGAAAAAGAGAGAAAAAAACATTGGGCTGGTAGCTCAAAAGCTTGATTCAAGCATAGCTATATGGCCCCACTATCATTTCACCCGCATCAATTGCATTACTACACCTAATGTGGATTTGCATGTCTTTTATGTTCATGTGAATAATTTGTACATCACCATTCGCATTCAATGCTTTTAATTACGATCCCCTGAAATAGTGATGAAACAATGTGTTATGTAGTATCTTCTTTGCTAATGTGGCTGGGATCTCCATAATCATAGGCTGACAGGCCCAATTCCTCCCCAAATTGGACAGCTGAGACAACTTAGAATGTTGTAAGTCTTCTTCTTCTGTAAACTGTTATTAGCGTGGGAAACTTCATAATAACTCTCTCTCTTTCTCTACATATCATTATGAATTGATTCATTTCATGTACTTTACTTTGAGTTGCACCTAGAGTATCTGTGCTCTTGTTTTTCTTCAAAACTATTTTTTACTGTATTTTGCGGTAACTAATGCAATTATGATTTCCTGGTCTTTGTTATTACTGAAGTAATTGCTCTGAAGTATAAAATATTTACCAGCTGGGATATAGCATGTTGTATAAATTATTAGAACCATGTCACTTTTACTTGCAATGTTATAGTCATAAGTGATCCAAAGCTTCATCATTGGATATTAACCATGTTGCACTATCTAGACCAATGCTTAGAAGTGCCATTCTTTTTCAATGAAAGAATGGCTATAAAATTGTAGGTAAAAACATTTTAGTTTCTTCAAAATTTTGTTATCTTTCATCTGAGAATATGTTTCTTTTAAATTTCATTTCTAACTTCGACAAATTGAACAGAAATTTGAGGTCGAATAAACTCGAGGATGTCCTTCCTCCTAGATTGGTAACTAACCCATCTATGAGCATATTTTTTGTGCTTGTATGTAGATAATTGAAATTTCTCCAGGTCTCTGAGCTTTAATAATTTCAAGGATGATTGTAAATCTACCTTCGCTTCACTGTATCTACCTTTAAGAAAACCGTTTCACTGGGTGAATTCCACCAGAATTGATCACTTTACAAATTTCGTACTAGTAATATTCTGCCTACTTTTTGCTTTACCCTTCTAAACATTTAGCAGTTATCCTTTATCAGCAGAATTTTTTTCATTATTATCCTAAATGATCAGGTTTGTTTCTCTAGGGATGTTGGTAATAATCATTTAGTGAGTACCTTAGGAAGCTTATTTGTATTGAAGTAGGCTTCGTAGTTCTACATAATTTGTATCTTATCTTTAATTGTTAATGATCGCAAGTTTTTTCATAATTTGTTTTGCTATATGATCCAGTACAAAGGTTTTTTTTTCAGGTCTACATTTGATGCAGGTAATTAAATAACAATTATTTGACTGGAGGAATTCCTGTTCAGCTGGCAAATTTGACAAATTTGGAGATATTGTAGTAATAATCTAATCAATTTGTATGATGGGATTCTTTTTCTTTTAGGGCTTTGAATCCCATAAACTCTTTTTTTGTTCTTGTGTTAGTTACAGGTACCTTTCGTCCAATAAGATGTCAGGACCAACACCAACATCCAACATGTTCATATTTCTAAATTAATATATTTTGGAGTCTAGTTTGATTGGAAATCTGGACGAATTTTCTTGCTGAGTCTCTTTCACTTCTTTCTGAAAGTGTTTTTAATCAAATGATTTCAGTGACAGCCTACCTCACCTCTGCCACCTCTTTCTGGCGTTAAATTTCTCATTTTCTCACTCTCAAACCCACACATCACAAGCTGACTTCTCTCTGCCTTTTTGGCAATTCATACAGATGAATATTTATCTAATCAAACTAAGTGTCATTGGACCTAAAAAATAGTAAATTGTCATCACATGGTTTAATTTATGGTTATTTTTTTCTTTACATCTCATTAATTTTTTTTTTACAAAAATAAATATGATTTAAAAATAAAAAAAATAAATTACATGTGTTAAAATTTAAATTTTAAAATTATTAAATGATTACTTTTTAAAAATAATTTTATAAATCAAATTTTAAATTTTTTTCTAAAAATTAAAGTTTAGGGATTTATGCATATTATTTGCATCTCCAAAATACGATAAAAGCAATAATTTTACCTAATTGGTAAATTCCTATTTAAAAAACTACATATGATTTTTGCTCTTAAGGAAAGAATACAATCATTAGGTTCCATCACTCAAAATGTAAATGAATTATTATGTTCAAAATGTAAATGTATTATTACGTTTTTATTTTTTTCAATTTTTATGTAATTTATTTATAAAATATTAAAATTTTAATTTTAATAAAATTTATTTTCAGAGATATCAAATAAAAGAAATCATTAGATGGAAGCGTTGAGATTCATTGTCAAAATTTAATATAAAGAAAATGCTGAATAATGACACGTGGTGACGATCAAAGACGATAATGGCTTAACTGGATAGGCCCACTTTTGTAGCTGACGATGGCTGCGTTTACTTGTCAATGCAACGTTGGTTGGGAACAAAGCACAAAAGTAAAAATTTTTTACCTAAATACAATATTAAGTAATAAGTTTTTTTTATTATTTTTTTAATTTAAAATTTAAAATTTTAATTTAAATAAAAAAACTCTTCAAGACATATGTTTGCAATAAAAAAAAAAAATTTGAGATAAAAAATTATTTTAATGTTCTTATATTTTTAATATTTTATTATTTTATACATGTATTTTTAAATAGTTTAATTATTCATATTATTTTTTAACAATATTAAATATTTAAAATATTTAATCTTATTTTTAATGTAATTTTTAAATATATTTTTTCAACTTAAATTTTCTTAATCATAACAATAATACTAAAATAGTTCTAAGAAAATTTTAATGACTTTAGAGCTTGGTTTCAAAAGATTCAAGGTTTTTTAGATTTAATTTTTTTATTAATAAATTTTTATTATAATTTTTTTTCATTAAAATTTTTTTAAAAATTTTATCTAAATTATCTAATGAGAAAAGAAAATTGATAAGGAAAGGATAGTGCAGGTTTGAAAGAAAGAAAATGTTGCCTTCAATTAAACCGACCAACGACATACAATTTATTGTGATTAAAGACAGGACAGGAGGATAAAATTTCTGACTTTCTAGCTTTCCTCAAAATCCTTGGTAATGGGTGGTTGCTGTGAAATGAATTTGTGACATTGACACCAGTATTAGTGAAAATGTCCCTACATTAGGACACTCCTTGCCACTAACTAATAACATTTAATGGTTTATAAATTAAGGTACACAAGCATATATCTACATATATTATATTTTTGAGATCAAAACAATCATATGGTCCAAGAAATTAGAAGCTAGGAGAAGGATTGATTTTATTTACAAAGGAAATTGTGATCAGAAAAGATTTATAGCTATTAAATTTAATTTTAAAATTCAGAAAAATAAATATATTTAAAGGTATTTTTTTTATAAAATATCATTTTATGATTTATTAACAATATATATAAACTTGTATATATTTGTATTTGTATTTGTATTTGTATTTGTTTTTGTATATGTACAATTATACTTGTATTTGTACCTTTGAGTCAAAGGTCTGTTCTCTTCCAAAGTAGGGGGCATCTGACATCCTAGCATAATACTCCTACCATGATGCCATTATCAAATTGGTTTATTTTGGCCAAAAATGAAAAATTCAAAAGTCTTTATTGTGAAAAAAACGTGTTAGTAACTTCAATTTGAGTTATTAATTTATTATGAAATTGATTGTGTCTTTAAAATTTGATTTTTTTAGAAACCAACATCAATCAATGAATGATTATGGTTTCAAATAAGAATCATATAATATTTTTTTTATGTCGCATTTGATTCACCAATAAAATTTTATTTTTTATTAAAAAGTTATAATTTAAACAAAACTATTATAAATATTAAGATTTAATCTAATAAATTAATTGGATTAAATTGGAAATTCTTAATAAAATTCTATCTTAATAATAAAAAAGGCTTAAAAGGGTATAGTGGCAAAGCATATCCAATATGTATACATACAATTTTTGGCTACCACATGTTGTGTGTCAAATCAAGTGGCATCCATGAAAGGGAAATAAGAGAGAATCCAAACTTAAACTCAAACTCGAGCTGCTCTTATTACTCCTCATTGGAGAGAAAGACTAAAGAAAAAAAGACTAGAGAGAATCCTCATCATCATCATCATTATGAGTCATTGTATAGTACCCAATTGGAATCTAAAACACCAAAGACAAGAACAAGTTGAAGAAGAAGAAGAAGGCAACAGATCTTCTCACGTGCTCAACCCCAGTAATACTCACCTTGTCCCCATGTATGAACTATCAGATTCAGCCGGCATGCCTACTCTCTGTTGCATGCCCTTTCCTCTGTTTCGTTCTTCCCTTGCTTCATTCTATGTTTATCTGATATCATTTTCCTTTTCTGTCATGGAGTTGACTTTAATTTGGGAGGAATCCCACTTTTGTATGTTTATGCCTCCCTGCTTTGTGATTCCTCCTTCCTTCTTCAGTACTTTTGCTTTAAAGATTTCTCTTTTTCTTGTTTGAAGGGTATATCAACCTAAAGAAACTAAAGCACAGCTTAAGAGCGATCCTCCATTTCCATTGTATTTTTTTTGGTGTCGGCAGCTTTTGCTTTTCTGCATCAGTTTAAAACAACTTCAGATGCTTTTGTATCTTCCATTTTGCACATGTTTTCAACTATGAAAGCCTCCTTTCAACTTCAGATGTTTTCAGCTACTCCTTTCATGCATTTCAATGAAGTCTTTTACCATTGTTTGAAGCTGGACAGACTCACCCATTTTTTCATATTTTGTTATTTGTCCCTATAACATTTATTGACCTTTATTAACCATATTTATCTTCTATTCTTTTTGTTGCTTTTGTTTCTGAGTTCACTCCTTTAATCATGGACTACCTTGATTCAAGCATTTTTGTACTTGAAATTCAGGTCGTCCAACTATGAAGTTGCAGAGCTAACATGGGAAAATGGCCAGCTAGCCATGCATGGGCTCAGTGGGCTCCTTCCAACTGCCTTGACAAAGCCAACATGGGGTAGGTCCAGTGACACACTAGAGTCCCTAGTCCATCAAGCCACATGCCACGACCAAAACCAGAACTTCAACTTTCTTCAGCATGACAATACCCCGGCAAACAGAAGTTCCGATATTGCAGCATCATCCGGGGGAAACTGGGCGGAGAGCACCGGTGGACTGCCAATGGCAGCAGCAGCGTTGTTAAAGAAACGGGCACGGTCGGATTCTGATCAATGCTGGAAAAATTACCTAAGTGGTGGTATTCAAGAAGATAGAGCAGATCGTAGTGCCTGTGCTAGTGCTAGTGCTACACTTTGTAGGGACAATGATACAACCTTGATGACTTGGGCTTCCCATGAATCTCCTCAGAGCATGAAAACCAAAACCACCGATGAGGACTCTGCTTGTCACAATGGATCGGTAAAAAATGAGGCGTTTTATTAAAAATTTCAGTACAAATAATCTAATTCAAACCCCATGTTACAATTCCTTGCACTCTTGAAAATTTGCTTTTGAAACAATTTGCAAAACTTGTAGGAAACCCGAGATGAAGATAGGGAGACCGGAGGTGAAACAGGTCGATCACACTCTACACGACGAAGTCGAGCAGCAGCTATTCATAATCTGTCTGAAAGGGTAAAAGTGCAGTCCCCTGGCCAGAATTACCAGTAAAAAATGTGATTTTTTTTTTTATAGTAATTGTACAGTAGGTAACATTTTAGCTAATTGTAGCAGAGACGAAGAGATAGAATTAATCAAAAGATGAAGACTCTTCAAAAGCTGGTCCCAAATGCAAGCAAGGTAAGATTGTCATGCATCCTTTATTAATACATGTGACATGTGAGTTTGAGATTTTGGTTTTAACATTAATTATAGACAGATAAAGCTTCAATGCTTGATGAAGTGATTGAATACTTAAAACAACTCCAAGCACAAGTCCAAATGATGAGTATGAGAAGCATGCCTCAGATGATGATGCCTCTGGGAATGCAGCAGCATCTTCAAATGTCTATTTTAGCTCGGATGGGAATGGGAGTTGGCCTAGGAATGGGCATGGGAATGCTAGACATCAACTCCATGGCTCCTAATGCTTCCCATTCTCTTCCTCCTCTCATGCATCCTTCACCAGTCACTGCTCCCAATCCCACATTTCTTCCTCCTCCCTTCGTGGCACCGCCTATTGTTCCACCACGCATGGCAGCTCAAGCAAATTCAAATGCTACCTCTAATGCCACAGTTCCTTTACCTGATCCGTATTGCGCTTTCCTAGCTCAAGTATGTCAAATTCACAATCATGATCCATTGGAAGCAAGTAATGAAGCAACTACACTGAAAATTGATTCAATCAAAAATGTTTTCTACTTTAAGCTAAATTCTCACAAAAACCAACACCAGTTGATAATTTCTGCATTAAGTTTTCCTAATCAAAACAAACAAATATCATTTTTAGTTTCTGATCAGTCATGCCATTATTGTTTTGTCTACTTACATATTTAGATACAAGAGAGTTTTTCCATCTTTCTGAAACAAAAATCTACTTAATATTAATACTGATTTTTTGGCTGCAGTCCATGAATATGGACCTCTACAGCAAGATGGCAGCACTCTACCGGCCACAAATTAATCAAACCACACAGACAGCAAGCAGTCCATCGCGGTCAAACAATGTACAAGAGGATTAAGATGCAAAAAGTACTAAACCATAACAAATGAGAAAAGAAAAAGGAAAATCTTTGAAGCCAAAAAGCCATAGCCTATTGATCCACCGAAATTATGAGAAGAAATTATGTCTTCGAACAGTTAATGTTAATTTGTCAGTATATAACGAAGGATCTTGTATGATAGGAATTAGATTTGTTTAAGCCTTACTGTATGGTTTTTTTTTTTTTATATATATAAGTATTTGATTGGCCATTGAGGTCCACTTTTTTCCTCTGTTGATAGTTTGGAAGTTAACTAAAACCTTTTGTGATGTTTTCCTAATTATGCTGTTCTGAGCAGTAATTTGCAACTTGGAAAGCATGTTTTCTATCTTTTCAATATAGTTTCCGGAATGTAATAGCACAAATCCCCTAGTAATAATCAACATATGGAATTTTAATTTATGGCAACATGGGGCCTAATAATTTGCAACAGTATGAAACAAGGACTGTTGATGAATATATATATATTTGAAGACTTCCCCATTGCCAATGACTTGTATTCATTAGCCCTGTAAAGTCATATGAAAATCATACGATATATATATAGTTTTTCGTTTTTTTGGTGAAGACAACGAGCAATCCTTTCTATATGATGTTATTTTCTGACAAAATGCTGAAGCTCATTTCTCTGGCAGTTTAAGGCGCTGCATCATGGGAGTGAACCGTGTTCTTGAGAAAGTTATACTAGGATTTCTAGCTATCTATTCAACATCAACATTGTCCGTAGCTGCAACCAAAATGGCTTGCTAGTCTCAATCAGTTATTTAATGCGAAAGGAAGATTGAAAGTGACTGCAGTTTAAGGGACCAAGCACAAGTTTTATCTGCACCTGCACATGGTGTAATCCCCATCTGCACATGATGTAAATGTAATCCCCATATCATTTGTATTTATCCATTCCTCTGTACTCAGTTTTTTCTGATACGTACTCACAGTTGAAGAGATCAGGGGAGGGATGTACAATATGACAGACTTAGGGCCTTAGTGGAATCTTTCATGGTTCCAAGGCACAATCGATATTCTTTTGATTGCTTCACTCAAAATGGCCTAGTCAAGGAGAAGTGCAAAAATGATTTGGAACACCCTATCAAATGAAGAGATGAAATAGAGCTTCTTTTTTTTTTTTTTTTATCAAAGGAGGTTATAGCCTAAAAAAAAAATTGCAAGTACAAAAATTTTAATTCAATTTATAAAATATCATCTTTTAAAAATAATTATATGAATTAACTCAACTAAATTTTGAGTTATAATTATAAATTTGCTTACATCACTACAAAAATGGGAAGTTTGACAAAAAGAGGTGATCAACACGGATCTGACATCTTAATAGTTAATAGATACGACAAAGATGCTGTGGTGATACCCTTCTAGGGGACCATAGCATTAAGCCAAATTGAAATTTTCATTTGGGTATCTACTCGAAGTAAGCTCCATTTTGCAGTTGACAATGTCGCAAATCAAGTTGTTATTAATTAGATGGAATTGGACTGAATGAGTCTAAGAGTATAGTATTGGAGCAGAGACTGACCACGCATTATGAATTGAATTTCCTAGAATGTAGAGTGAGGACCAACTGCATCCTTGCCACAGATTGGAAATAAGGGGATTGATTAGTGCTGGAAATTTTTTGTACACCATGGAACAGATGCCACCTCTAATATGAGGGTGACCTTCCTTATTTAATTTCTATCTCCTCCTTTGATGTTTCCAGCTCATTGTTCCAATTCCAATCCTTTGGCGTAAATGAGAAGAAGATTGGTGAGAGCTTGCCACTTAAGAAGAGATGCTCGGCTTTATTTGCCTTGTTTTTCCCATGAGAACTGAGAACTATTGAGAAGAAAACTCTTAGCTCATAAGTTAGCCCAATGGGTTTCTGCTTGAAAATTGTTTAGAGACATTATTGAAAAATTTTATTGGATTTTTTATGAAAGAGATTGCCTTCTGAAATATAGAAAGAGTTTACAAGTATTGGATTTAAACTTCAAATTTGTGATAAAGTTTTTTTTAGCAAAAAAAAGAATGAAGCTATTACAGATTAAGTCAAGTGATTTTTTCTATCTCTTGGTTTAGTGGCTAAGGAAGTTTTACTAGAACATAAAAATCTTGATTTCGAGCTAAAATTTTCTCCACCTTTCTCTCTTATAAAGGATATGCCCTCCCCTAAACAAAAAAAAAAAGTCATGTGAGGTAGACGAGAGTTTAATATCATAGTCAAGATCTGAAGTTCAAGTAGCAAATGCTCATCTCTTCAAAGAAATACATTGGAGAACCGCTATAGGAGTGAAGGAGCTCGTGGCAGATATTCTTGACAGAGTGGACCTTGATATAATCTATTGGTTGCACACTGTTAACCCTTTGCATGGATGATGGAACTCTTTTTCCTGACCAATAATATTTATCGGAGATGAATTTAGGAAGCAATGTTGCCTGGATGGTGGAAGTTGTTTACCAGGCAGTAATGGAAGGATAAAACTACTTTAGCAATTCAAGGCATTTTTAACCATGATTAGGCCAAATTCTGCCACCCTCCGATATTCAACCCCCCCATTTATAACTTGACATTTTAAAATTGTCTTGAAGAGAGACCTACCATATTATTTGTTTGAAATGAAGCAATATCAATTATTTGATGCTAATAAATAAATTCAACTAATGATAAAATATGAGTTATAAAGGATTTGTCAAAATTAATTAGGTTTCTTCGCTTTTAAGATTGAAATAAGCTAAGTTCAAAAAAATCAAATCAAGAACAAGAAGCTAATTCGTTTAACACTTAAAAGCTACCCACCACTTTTGTGACCTCGTTGAAGAGGCTTTTCCCAGTAGCAGCCTTTAAAAAGGTCTCTAAAAATGAAAGAGTAGCATGAGTAGTGTAGAGGAGGGGGAAAAAAGCACCTTTGGGTGGCTTCAATTGCAATAATGGCATCACAACATTCACGCAGCTAAGTTCTATCCTAATCATCTACTAATTAATTAATTAATTAAAAAAGTAATAGATTAAGGGTTCATTTGGATGTGAGCTGAGAGAGAATTTTACAGTTTTATTGTACCCACTTTATAACTGAATAATAGTATCATAATGTCCTTTTATAATTGGAACTTCGAATCCAAGTTACATTTAGAAGAACAGAACGACACGGTCGAGTGTTTCTCACCGAATTACACCCCAATTAGCTCTTATTTCATTCGACTCATCCAAACATAGCCTAGGGAAAAAGATGGTTTAGCTAATTGTTTGCAAACTAGGGGCCCAAACCAGCAATCTCTACCATTTTAAAGATCCACAGATGGTGTCCAAGTACTCCTTTCTTCCGAACAACTATTAGTTTTTATTATTTTATTTTGTCGACAATCATTTGATCGGAGCTGTTAAAAGATGTTAATTTTATTCAAATTTGATGAAAAACTTGACTCTTTATCTGAACGTGAATGTGAATGAAAATATATATATATTATATTTTAAAAATGAGATGAGAATGAATATGATTTTAATTTTTTTTTGTAAATTTTGTTATTACCGGAACTATGTGGTATGGTTCAGCAGCTACTCTAGTCAAATTGTTCGATCCTACTAAGGGAATCAAGGATATTTTTAGCAGAAAAATATCAAAGGTTAAAGGTGGATTAGCCGAAAATCAAAATTTATCATAAACTTGATCTAAAATTTTTTAAAAATTAGTTTTTTATTATATTGAAGCGGGTTTAATGGACAATAAGGATGCAATAGCCGTTGGTTAGATAAGACGGCCTATGTTTAGAAAGAGTACGCCGCTTGTTCACTATATATATTTTGAAGTTTATCCTATATATATATATATATATATATATATATATAGTAAATAAATTTTTTATTTAATAATATAATTTTTTATTATAAATTAATCAGATTTAATATATTTCTATTTTAAATATATATATTTATAAAAAATTACATAAATGTATAAAATAAAAAATATTTATTTTTTATTTCGTTTTTTATTTTTTTAAAGAACTACAGATATGAGGATTCTCCATGTCTAGATTTAAAATATACCTCAGCAAGCTGCCTTGTTCAATTTCTTTCCTCTTTAGTCCCAAATCATCATTCATGGTTTTAAATTCAATTGTAGTATATAAGAACCAAGTATCATAATTATTTCATAAAAAAAGAAAAAAGAACAAGTATCATAATACAACTCTTTTGCAATTTGCATTCGCTTGCATCAAACAGTAAAATTGGACAAAGCCAAAAGCAAACCCCACACCTTTGATTTCATATCATGGACTAACAATGCAGTAGCAGCAAATAGAGACTTAAACTCGTCGACTCCCGTCAACAGCAGCAACTGATATTAGGCCCTGAAAGCATTGATGGGTAAAGGAAAGCAGTTTAAAGAAACTATCATGTAGATCAATAGTTCATTCCCCTTAAACTCAGATTCCAAATAAGTCTATTTCCTTTCCATGTCTTCCTAGAACAAAGTGCCATGAAAAGCTGATAAAGAACATCCCCGCAACATGGGATCAGCATTCCGAAACATTTTTGCAGGAGGTTTACCACAGCAGCATTTAAAGGGAAATCAACTTTCCAAACTCCAAGACAATATGTTGCTTTGCTTATACACTGAAACTACAAACTCTGAATTTAACCTATAAGATACAAAAGCAAAATAAAAGCAGTCCAATTAGAACATTAAATTTTACATACAAAACAAGAGTAATTTCCTTAGGCAGGGAGAAAATTTTCCATGTACTTCAGGAATCATGCTGGCAATTACATGACCGTCCATACATCCATTGCATTAAACAGATGCTAAAATGAACTCAACTGATTCAAAAGAGAGAAAACTTTTCATAACAGAGCTTGAACCACATGGTTTCATGGCATCAAATATGGAGAAGTCGTCGAATTGCATGGAGCAATTCCATGCTACAAGATTGTATTGGCATAAGATGGGAGTATTAAGGGAAGTTTAACTGATGATTTCCCTAAACAGCCAATCCACACAGGGGAAGGCAAAGTACAAAACAAGAAAAGAAGGGACGCCAAACACGACAGTGATAAGAATGTATTGGACGAAAATGGCTGCACTAGCTGGCATGGCATATAAGACCATCAAAAGAAATATGACAATCAAAGGGAACTTAGCTGTTACGTGCAAAAGGAAAACCAACGACTTACGCAGTGGTGATTTGAGTTTTTCAGCACTGAAATAGCTAGTAATCAGGGGGCCTTGATTTTGGCTGGACTCTAAATGTTCTGAATGGTGAGTAGCACATGAAGCTCTCCTGTTGTTTATACGTCTAAGTTGATTTCCCCCATCTATTTTTTTATTTGTAGAATAGTCAGGTGGATGACCACCATGAAAGGAAGAATTAGACTTCGACCTATTACCATTCATGCTCTCAATCATCCAGAGGAGAAAGTAGTTTTTGCTGGGAAACTTGACATTCCCCTTGTAGACCAACCTCAAAGAGAATAGATTACACCATGGGCACGAGATGAAGAATGGAATATGGATTGGTAATGTAGGGAATTTCAGAACAGCTCGTTGCAGCCCTAAGACACAATTTTTACATAAAGTATGGCCACACCATAAAACATATGGTGTATTCTCTACAATGTTGAAGGATTCCCAGCATATTGGGCACTCCAATATTTCCTCTCCACATTTGTTCAAAGAAGTATCCTCATCTGAGCATTCTGAAGAAACCTGACTTGGTTTCAATGAATCAATCTTCAACCTGCTGGCTCCAATAAAGGCCTTTGATGCAAAGTTCCACATGGTGAATGCGGGATTAGTTGGCTTTATACAAAGGTACTTGTTCAAGCGGACTTGGCCATGGATTTTAAACCTGTAATATTGTCCGTACAAATGGCAAAGCAGCCATTGATCATTACTATCGACTTCAAGGTTCAAGTTTCACAAAATCAGATAATTAATCTATGTTTTCATCACAGAGAATTCTGTGCATATTGGAACTTTTATGTGCTCAAAATGAAGCAAGCATTACAAAATCAACATCAGTCTCCAATTGTCCCTAAAACAATTCCATAAACAGTAAAACCCACCAAGAATAACTGGATTTTATTCATTATCATGCAAGATTGGAGTCATTATTTCAATTCTTCCCAAAAGCTGAAACGACTCAGTTTCTGACCTTCTGTTTCCAAGTTTAAACCAAACAATACCAAAACTACAAGTATCAATTTCAGTCTTGATCAAAACCAACTAAGTTTCTTCCCTTTCCTCACCCTTTCTTAACCTTCATTAAGATTAACTCTTTGAAAAAAACAAAACATTACCCATGAAAAAGAACTAACAACACACGACAGTAGGGAAGAAAAAGAAGAGAAAAAATCATCTAAAAGCGAAAAAGAAACCCAAAAGAGAAGAAGTAGACTTACCAGAAGAAGAGAAGAAAAGTTTATTTCCTTTAGAAATTCTTTATTTTCCTTTTTGTTGAAGCTTTGGGAAAGACTAGGTGACGTTTTAAGAAAATAAGCCAATAGAGGATGAATTGAGTGACGAATGAGATGCACTCTGTATCTCCGTCTGTGCCTATGAATGACAGATTGCGCAATCAACAAGATACTGCTGTTTACTAAGCAAATAATAAATAATAAAAAGATAACTAAGAAGTTCGTACTTGCCAAAATTTGGTAAAAGCTGTAAAGCGAGCAGACCCTATCAGCCCCTATGGTCTGTGGCCCATCCTCTTCAATCTTCATCCCCCACACAAAAGGGTCACATGCCCATGCCATTATGTTTTCTGTTTTTTTTTTTTTTTAATTATTTTAAAGGGTTAATATGTAAAATCATCACTGCACTATATTTGTTTATTTTATTAGTTTGATATTTTAAAAAATAAAATTTATATTTAAGAATTTTAATTTTTATTCTGTCAAATAATTCGATATTTTTTATTAATATAATTAATTAAATAATTAGTGTGACATAAATGTTCAATAAAATTATTCACGTGTTATAAATATTTAGTCATAATCATGTAAATTATTATCACACCAACAAAAATTTTAAAATTAAAATATAATTTTTGAGAGAGAGAAAAAGAAAAATGAGAGAAAAGAAAAAGGAGGATGGAGGAAAGGGAAGAAATGATGGCGTCGAACGGTTTAAGGCTGGATCGACGTCAGTCTGTCCCTTACTTGGAAGATTAGCATCGATTTGGTTCAAACGAGCTCAGTTAGCGTCAATCCACCAGGTCCAGGGCAAAGCAGCCTGACCTTGAATCTGACTGATGACAACACCCTTACCTTTCCCTTTTGCCACTTCTCTTCTCTCTCTTCCCTTTCTTCTTTGTTTCTTTCTTTCTCTCCCTGATATTTTTTCTTTTTTTTTTTATTTTTATATTAAAAATATATATTTTAAATTTTTTTATTTAAATATTAACATAAAAAATAAATAATATAACCATAATTGAACATTTATATCACATGTTATGATTTTATTAGATATTAATACTATTTAAACAACTTAACTATCAATATTAATTTGGAATACCAAAACACTTAGACAAGATAAAGTTCATATATCTAAATGTGAATTTTATTTTTTAAAATACCAAACAGGCATAAAATGTATAATACAAAAAATTTTTGTGTTTAACACTATATTAAATGCATTAGAATTTGAAAAGCAATATAAAAAATATTAATATATTCATTTTCCTTCTTAAATTATATAAAATGCATTCATTGTCTCTATATAAATTATATCAAATTATTCAAAACATAGTAAACATCAAGCTCATTATTTTTTTTTTATAAAAAACCCAAAGGTTTTACTTGAAAATAAGAGAAAAAAATTTAAATGTTAGAATTTAAATTCTAAATTTGTTGAACATTATCTTATAATTATATAAATTAATTGAATTAAATTTAAAATTTGATCACATTATTTTTCAATATCAAATCATTATGTTTAATTTTCTTGACATTTGAATCAAAAGTTAATAATAAGTATAGTTATATCACTTATACAAAGAATTATTTTCGATTTTTTTTCCTAAATAAATACTCACTGGGTTTTTTTTTTATTAATTTTTAGTAAGGGAGGCAAATTATTTTAAGTGAATTGGCATACATTTCACTTGTCAAACTAGTTGATATGATAGAGATAAAGAAGAATATAAGAATAAACTTTGATAGTGTCTGTGGTCTCTCTTTTATTTTCCCTTTTTATTCATATATTCTTTTTTGATTTGAAAAAATGAAGCTTGTAAAAGAGTGAATGAGATGGAGAAAGTTGTAAGAGAGAAGAGCATCAAAGAGTAGATATGAGATATTAGGTATAAAAGAAAAGGGGTAAAAGGAAGAAAGAGAATGGGAGTCCAAATGAAAAAGAAGTAACTAATTAATAATTCTATTAGCGTATCAATGATATAAAAGATAAGCTAATTCAAAGAACAGGATTTGATCGAGCATTTGATTCAATAATTGATGCATGATCATTACTTCAAAAAATAAAATTTAATTTTTTAAAATATAAAAAAAAAGAAACTAATTTTATTTGTTATTAAAAAAGAGAGAGATCATTTTAAACCTAAAAATTTTATACCAAATATAATGATAAAGCATAAGTATTAATGAAATCATCAATGGTTTTGGAAGATTGATCATCACGTGGTGGTGAGTATAATAAGCAACTTGCCTGATTAGGTGTGCATGCCTAACTTAGGCAGGATTAAGTATTTGGTGCATGGTTGGTTCAGGTTTTGCCTACCCTTCAATTCCTCTATAGTAAGTTATTGTCTAGATAGGACTGGACGTGTCCGGTGGGTTAATTTCTAGGGGAAGCGTAAAGGGTTTTTTTTGGTGAGAAGAGAACGTGTTGCAATTAAGTAAAATAACATTTAATGAAATATCCAAGTAATGGTTCCTTAATTGAGAGTTGAGAAGAAGAGGACTTGCCCTATAACAATACAGAAATATGAACGCATGAAATCTTTGCTTTAGATATGCAGTGCATTGGATATAAATCTTTTTGATTAATAGTGTTTTTTTTTTATTGCAGAAAAGAGTATATTTATTTTAATTTGTTTGGTTTTTTATTCTCCATTTGCAATAGAGAGGCTTCAACTGAAAATATAACAGTGATTTTAAACCTATTTAAACTTTATTGATGTAATTATTATATAATAAGGAGATTAATTTCATTTTTAAGTTGCTTTATTAATATTAGATTGATCATATATATAGGTTAAAACCAGGGCAGACTTGGCTGCTTGTTCCGTCTTTCAACGATTAAAGAAAACAATGCCAAATAATACCATGTTTTTCTCCTCTGCTGTTTTTCCAAATAAAATCTAAATCCTATAGAGCAATAGAGAAATTTTCATACAGTGAAACCTATTTACTTTCCTTTTGAAAATTTTCCTCAGATTTCCTGAGCAAGCTGATTGATCTTCCCTAGCCAACCATAGCTGAATGAAGCTGTTTGTTTCTTTTCTTATGGCTAGACCTACTGACCTACCATACACAATGGCAAAGAGACAAAATTAAGCAGATTCTAATTCAAGTAATTGGCATCCTGACAGGATCTCCAGAGAAAGCATTCCACAGCTGAAGAGGAAATTTCACATCTAGAGGCCAGAATAAGCAAAATACATTGCTATATGGTTGATTTTCAAGTTAGTTTAGAACAAACTCTTAGGTTCAGAAGAGCATATTCATATTCCATCATTCACCTGACCAGTACCAAGACCTAAAGCCATTGAAAGTTGAAAATGGATTTCTACTCTGCTATATAATGTAATTGGTATGCCATATTTTAGTTGACATGTACATGATAATTACATGACTCATTGTTAGCTAACCCCAATAGTCTTTAAACTTACTCTTTCTATACTTGGCCTATTATAAGCCGAGGGTTACTCAATGAACATCTCGGTCCTCGAGGTCTTCTTGTTATCTTCCCCCCACTAATAGTCTTCTCAGCTGGATATCCCCTTCACTATTACCAGACTGCTGCTTCAACAACATGTTCATCGTGCTCTCCATTACATTGGAAGCACGGGCATTAGACCTTTGCCTCCCTTTTCTGTATCTATTTCTACCTGCTTTCCTTGAAGACCCACTTTCCCATTGAGCCATTAACCCTCCAATCATCTGAAGATCCTAAGTGACCTCATAGCCAGAAAAAGAGGCAAGGCTTGGAAGAATTTCAATTTGAAAATCCTTCCTCTGCTGTCTTCGCTTCCTTGTTTGGCCCTCCTTTGGCTGGTTTGTGGGAAAATCGCACTCCATTCTTCCTCTTTCTGGCCATTGCTTTTACACCAAGACTCTTCTACTTTTGTCTTCGTTAGGTTCGATGTCACGGCTTCAAAGTAATAAATTCCATCAGAGAGATACTCCTCATTATCACCATAATCCGTAACACCTATGTTAGCTCTAAATTCACTTCCTGGATCATCCACTACTGAAGAAGCAAACCTTGCAAACAAATAGAGGGAATTAGAAGATTTAAAAGGTTTACCAGTGATGCTTTCTAAACAAGTCTGGATCTCAGATGATGAAATGGAAACTATAGCCACCACTGCTTTCCAAACTAGTTCCTCTTGCAGATTCCATCTTCTTGTCCTGAAGAAGGCAAAGGTTTCTCAAGCGGTTTTCATCAGATTCCTCTTTAGGTAGCGAACAGTTCTTGTTTTCTGGACTTGCAGGTGGCTCCAAATCTATTTCTATTGAATGTGAAGGCATTAGAAGAGATTCATCCATCGATAAGCATGAATTCAGGTCAATTGCTCCATAACCAGGATACTTACCACAAGTTTAACTTTTTGCGACCGACTCAGTTTTAGCTAGTTGTTTTACTCTATGAGGCACAAGATCAAATTTCAAGTTTATATCAGGTATCCTATCTTTTCTTCGTCTTTGATATCTTCTTTTGCACAAGAATTGGGATGGTTTCTGAAACGGGAGGCATGAGATAAGCACTGGTCATTGGCAATAGGAGGCTTGTTATACATGTGAAATCCAAGTATCCTCTTAAAACCCAGGGAGTTGCTTGGCTCCACCTTTTCCAACCTAGCATCATGGATACACAAGGAATTAGCTTGTTCAAGGGTAGATTCCGGTAGGATTGACGGGTCTCTCATTTCACCAGATTTTGTACCATGTACTGGCATTTCAGCAATCTGAGGAGAACAACCAGTTGAAGTTTGAAATATATTTTCACTATGTATATGATAAGCACCTTGTGAACTAGCCACATTGATGGAGAAACTAGGCAAGAAAAAATTGAGATCCAAACTCTTCACAGACCTCACATACTTGAAATTCTTAGTGTTTTTCACATATGCTAAAATGCAAAGTCATTGTCGTTATTGAAGTTCAATGAAACAGAACTTGTAGATGGTGGTTGACCTTCCAGCTCGAAATCATTCTGCCAGGTAGCATGTGGGAAGGTAGCACTATAAAACTTTGGGCTAGATAACAAGTTTTTACCAAAACAAAGCTCATTCTTGCAATCCCAAGGCTTATGGTAAATGATTTAGAACTTTTCCCCTTAAAACATGGAAGTGCTCGAACCGCTATAGGGCTTTGCTTGAAGTCACGTCTCCAAGATGAAACAGAGGATGACTCAGAGTTCATCGTATCCGCCAAAGGAACAAT